TCCCTCCCTCCCTCCCTCTCACACACACAGTTTCTCTCTCCTCTTTCTCCTCACACATACAGGTACACACACACACACACACACACACACACACACACACACACACACACACACACGAGTGGGGTATAGTTTTGGTGTCTCTTTAACTCTGAGGAGATAGTTCTTATTTCTCTTTGGTCTTGTTTCCCAATTAGCAGTCTGTACATTTATTTTCCCACAAGAACTGAAGATTATCCCCCCTCCCTGTAAGAAAAGCTACTTAAAGAACCCAAAACTTTGATAGATTCTACCTTATCAACACATCTTCCACTGGATATATATGTTCATAAAACTATGAAATAAACTTGAAAGGTGGTAGCTTTTAAAGACAATTGAACTGGTAGTACAGCTCAGAGATAGGCCACTTGCTTAACCCATGAGAGTCACTAGGTCTGATCCACATCACAGCAAAAGCAAGCATATTAGGTCAGAGAATTTGCTCAGAGTATAGCTCAAAGCACTTGCCTAGCATGCATAGTTCAATAGCCAGCACCATAGGGGAAATGTAAACTACATTAAAATCATTAAGATACATTTAATTACTGGATCATTAGATCACATACTAAAAGGTAAACCATATAATTACTTGAAAGTACTGACTTTGTTTATGTTTCATTTAAAAAAAGAAATGAAAAATAATGTTTTATCAACTTCAAAGGACTGGCAATTGAATTTCAACCATTTAAAAGGTAAGAAAACAGCTGAATGCAAATGCCATCTCAGAGACCAATGATGAACAGCTTCTAAGTGCTCAGACACTGAGCCTATCCCCTACCACCACACATCCCTCCCAGCTCGTTTCATGTTTCTGAATGCCAAAGGAAAGGCTCTCTTTAAAGAACTGTTTGCAATGAAAGCAAAGGTTCACATAAGCAAACTGTAGTAACAAACCCATTATTGAGTGGAGGAATTATGATATCATCAGAAACATGTTAGCCAATTACTCACCAAATAGTCAATATCCACTGGTCCAAGTGCCATCATGTCATTGCCTGAAATTTCAGAAAGTGACTGCTATTTGTCTACCTTTAAGCAGATTCTGGTATGTGCACAACATCTGGTAATTTAATTAGTATAGAAATGCAGAGAGTATGTACAATTATTTGGCTACCATTTTAGGATATCCAATCCAGACATTATGGAGGATGACACATGGGTACCAAAGCAATGAGAAAAGACTGTACCTTCTATTTTTGGTCCCAAACTGCTCTAAGCTTGATTATCTCACATATAAGGGTGTGGATGCTTTCTCATTGTTTTCCTACAAACTCTGAGTGACAGCTATATGACTTTTCAATACAGCATGCCTTTATTCCTACCTGAGACAGCTGGAGGTGACAGAGGGGCTAGGTGATAGACAGCAGAGAGAAGTTCTCTTATAGTTTCCATAGCACCACGGACAAACAGGTTTCCTGAAGCATTTAAAAGAATTACATAACACAATCTAATGATGTCGCTAGTACATATAGTTGTGAAAGAATAAAGCCCCTCACCATATTCACTGCCAACCACCAAGAAAAGCATATTCCAAAATTTTAAATATACACTTTTGAAAAATTTCACACATGATATCCTGTATGTGACAGATTGAAGCAGTCTACTCTGTGTTTCTCTATGTTACACAGGAACATAGGGGACATGTGATCAAGTTGCACCTGGTCATTCAACCAGCCAAACTCAAGGTATTCTTTCCATAAAACTCCAGAAATACCAACATATTTCTCAATACAGCTCAAACATATTCAAAGAACAATTAGGTTAACCTAAAAATTCTTTCAAATATCTTGAAACTATTATTTTAAATTACTGCACTTGATGATAAATACCACTATATGTCTCAATTATTTAAAAGTACTCTTTGTATGACTAAAATCTCTATTTTTTAAAATATCTAATTAAGCCAAAAAGGATACTGGTTTTGATTTTACAGAGAACCAATGGGAATATGTTTTAATGAATTGGAATTCAAAGAGTAAAAACGTTTTAATTATCAGAAAAATATATGAGAAAAAATAAGAAAAGGAGATTTCTTTAATGTGTACTTTACAATGTGAAGAGGAAAGAACAATTCTGAAAATCATTCTGCTAACTTTCTGTATTTAAAGAAATAAAAATGAGAAAAGATTAACATGCTGTGGGATGTTCTCTACGCTGTGAATGTGTTGCTCTGATTGGTTAATAAATAAAGTGCTGACTGGCCAATAACCAGGCAGAAAGTATACGTGGGACAAAGAGAAAGGAGAATTCTGGGAACAGGAAGGCTGAGTGAGGAGATGCTGCCAGCCACAGCCATGCAAAACAAGATGTAAATTACCAAGCCACATGGCAACATATAGATTAATAGAAATGGGTTACTTTAAGATATAAGAACTACATAGCAAGAAGCCTGAGCCATTAGGCCAAACATTTTAAATAATATGAGTGTCTGTGTGTTTATCTGAGTCTGAGTGGCTGCCGGCCCAAGCAGGACTGAAGATAACTCCAGCTACATTAACAGATAATACATTATTAGCTCAAATCATAAAATAAATATTATTTCTTGGAAATGAGGAAGCAAAGCAGACATGAACAGGCCATAAAGCTGAAAACATTAGTAAAATACACATAATATGCAATTTTATGAAAAAACAAACTTTTGAGCTAGGGTCTTACTATGTAGACTAGGATGGCCTCAGACTCACAAAGATCACCCTGCTCCTACCTTCTGAGAGCTGGGATTAAAGGTGTGTGTAATGTACTCTTTCAGTTTTGTTTTTAAAAGGATTTTCTGGTTCATGATAGAAAAACAGAAAAAGTTATTTTAAAACCACTAATCTTTACTTCTAATGGAATCAACTTACAGTGACAGGGACAGTACAACACACACTTATGTATCTGTTTACACCTCTTCAGACTATTTTCGTGGACCTACATTTGTTCCATGATATCACAGGCCAGTTTAGCATAATGTGTATCTTATAATCAACTATAAACAGCAACACAGTTTTCTAGCATGATTTAGTTTTGTTTTCATTTTCCTTAAAGGTAGAAGTGACATTAAGTGACAGTTGCCATAAATTTTTATATTGGTCCATTAAACTGGGAAAAATAACAAAGCAAACAGGCACAGCTGAGTCTATATGAACAGGCAGCAAATCTAAATACACATATTTAGGACTAACTAAAGACAAGGCTCACAAAAAAATCACAGGTGTCTGTGTGTATCTAGAGGATTACAAGTCAGATTCAGCAAAAATGAAATAATCTATACTAATTAATACATCCACTTTCTCAAGAACTGGACAATTTAAACTCTATTATCAGATATGCCTGTTACACTGTGATTGTTTTCTGAAATGAACTTTATTGTATATATTATAAATGAAGTGAGTACATGTTTCACAATGACTTTAAACAACATAATTACTAATTATACAGGCATATAACTACATATTTATTTATCTATGCATAAGAGCCAGAGTTGGTGGACAACTCCAAGGAAACAGTATCTTCATGATACAACAGGACTGAAAAATATATGAACTCACAGAGACTATGATAGCATGCACAAGTCCTATACAGGTTCAAACCAGGCAAAATTCTAGCAATGAGAAGGGAAAGTGGACACAAATTCCCACCCCTAACCAAGAGCCTATTTGCAACTGATACCTGCTAGGAAAGGAAAATCAGTTTTTTCCAATGCAGTGACACTGAATATATCCCATACTCCATGGAAGGCCAACACAAGACAGATTCCATGGTTTTCATCTTGTTTTGTTTTTGTGTAGGGGTATGCTTTTTCTTTTGGTATTTTGAGAGAGAGACCATGTACACACAAACATAAGTTGGATGGGTAAGGAGGTAGGATAGATATGGGAGAAGTTGGGGAAGAGAAAAGAATATTATCAAAATATGTTACATGAAAAGTTTTAAATAAAACATCAATTTTTAAAGTATAGGTGGGACAAAGAGAAAGGAGAATTCTGGGAACAGGAAGGCTAAGTGAGGAGATGCTGCCAGCCACAGCCATGCAAAACAAGATGTAAATTACCGAGCCACATGGCAACATATAGATTAATAGAAGTGGATTAATTTAAGATATAAGAACTATATAGCAAGAAGCCTGAGCCATTAGGCCAAACATTTTAAATAATATGAGCATCTGTGTGTTTATCTGAGTCTGAGTGGCTGCCGGCCCAAGCAGGACTGAAGATAACTCCAGCTACATTAACAGATAATAAAATTCCAATTATAAAACATTCTGAATTTAGTATTTTAACAGTGCTTCATTCTTTAAAATGTAATTAAAGAGTTCAACAATATAAGCATACAAATTGTTTTTGAGAAAAAATGACTTGTGGTCTACAGAAACCACAAATAACGGCTAGTGGTTCTACTGCAGACAGTACTTCCTAACATTAAGTGTTGTTTGTCCTGGCTCTAGGTGAGTTTGCCTTATCCATGTGTTCTTCTCACTTGATGGGCAAATCCAAGACCCTTGCTGTTCCTGAAACACAGGCAGGAACTACATCCCTCAAAAGTATGAAGTCAGATAGACATTGCTTATAACCAGTTTAATTCCCATTAGCTACTTCTAGTATATTTCAAGCCATTGGTATTCTTTTGAATATACTACCTTCTCATTTAATCAAATACCTTCATCACATTTACAACAAAATATGGTATTAACAAAAGAATATAGAAAAACATAAATGATTTTTGTTAAATTTACTATAAGAAAAAGTTGAACATTCTTTAAACTAGACCAAACAGTACCAAAGGTAACCAATCCATTTACTATGCCCCCAATGCCACTATAATTCTTAACAGCAATTCTGATCACTGTCAATTCTCTTACCTCAACATAAGATGCTAAACCTAGGCAGTGTAGGCACATCTTCACTTAGTTTTCACATGGAAAAACAATGTTGCAGAGAGGCTCACTGTACATATTTATATAGGTACAGAGAGGCCACATTGTACCTATTTACCAAAATAACAGAAGTATGCTCTGTCTTTTGAAATTCTATCAAAATTGTGGATAGGTTAACATTTAACATGTTAGCATCCAATTTCCGGTTCTTACAATTTTTAAGAATGTGGACCCAAGATGTAGACAAGAGAGGTCACTTTATACATTAATTTTTCACTACTAACCAGTACTGAAATAAATTAATATATCACACATCTCTTTGAAAACAATGTTTTTTATGAAATCTAGGTCTGTGGTATTATTTTCAGCAATTGCTCTCTCCTGAAATCCTTTCCTTACATCTTACATGACAGTGATGAGACACAATACAAATGACAATATCAGGACTGGAAGATGGCTCAGTGGTTAAGAGGACTGACTGCTCTTCCAGAGGGTCCATATTAATCTCTGAATACACACATAGTAAGTGGCTCACAAATGTCTATAACTCCTGTCCCAGGGATCCAACACCTTCTTCTGGCTTCCACAGGCACTGCATGTACATGGTGCACAGACATATATTCAGGTAAAACACCCATATACATAAAATAGTAGAAAATTGTATTAAAAAGGAATATTATCACTTTTCAAAGTAACTAGGTGGACATAAGTTCTTTCTATTCTTAGTTCATTTATCTTTTACTTATCTATCATTTTATAGCTCTCTAGAATACATTTTTTTTTTTTTTTTTTTTTTTTGGTTTTTCGAGACAGGGTTTCTCTGTGTAGCTTTGCGCCTTTCCTGGAACTCACTTTGTAGTCCAGGCTGGCCTCGAACTCACAAAGATTCGCCTGTCTCTGCCTCCTGAGTGCTGGGATTAAAGGCGTGCGCCACCACCGCCCGGCTCTCTAGAATACATTTTTACATTTTTAAAAACTTGGAATCAAGGGTATATTTAAAAAAAATGCGGCTTAAATTCAAGTTTTGTATTAAAAGGAAACTAGGCCTCACGTTCTTCTCTCTGAATTCTATAAGGTAGCAAAACTCTTCCAACTTGGGCCAGATATTAAGCTGAGAACTCAACTTGTACGTAATGGAATTAATCCTGGGTGTCTCACATAGCTTAGTTTGGGTCTTTGTGGAAATTACACAGTTCCATACACATACAATGACTTTCTAATAATACTGTGAATTCTGACAAGTCAATTTTGCATACATCAATTTCATAGTAAGCCAGTGTTTGTATCTTCAACAGTGAAGTGTAATTTGGTATTCACAGAATTTTCTACACAGTGATTGTCCCATACTTGATGGTGTAGAAGATATAGACAAAGAAACAGGAATTGGTAGGTATACTGTGTGTTTTCCAAACAGAAATATTACTGAAGTTAACAAGAGCCACAGAAGATGAAAATTTTGTCTAGAAAAAGCAAACAATTCATTATTGTGAATGGGATGCTTAAAGTTCAAGTATTGAACTCACTACTCTCACTTGAGAGTAGAACTCCAGCCTTTGACAG